CATGCTCATTGTGTTGTAATCTCAACAAAAATGGATATCCAACTAGTAAGAGGAATTTCTATATCATCTCAACGTCTAAAACTGGATAGCTTGATTTAGCACTTACAAAACTAGAAAAATACATACCGAAATCGGGATACTAATTATCTCAGTCAACATAAATGAATTCTTTAGATAATTGTGTCATAGCAACTCCAACATATTGTTGAAAACATTTAGTAGACCAATAAAAAGAAGAGTGAATTTGGTGAATGACAAAACTTTACATACTTATTAGGAAACCAACAAAGGAAATTTCTACATAAGTAACTGACAAAAGGGTACCGACCAAATTCACTCTCTTTCATAAATATAAATGCGGTTTGTATCTCCTGCGCGTGGGGGAACGAGGCAGAAGTGACTGAAAGACGGTGTGACGCAAGCTGAAAGACAAGTAGGTGGTTGTGATAAATGAAGGGAAATGCATTCAATACGATTAAGAACATATGTGTGTTGGGCGGGAGATGTGTGTCTTGGGCGAAGCCCTATGCTTAAGGCCCCAATAAATAGGATGGTAGTTCCGCAAGATTTTTAGACCGGTACAAGGAAGAGTAGAAAGAAAATAAAAAGACTTGGTGATACAAACGGTTGTGGGTGTTCATCAGATTCTGTAAACAGGTAACGCTAATATGTACATCTACGTAAAAACTTAATATGTAATGTAAAAATATAGTTAACTAACAGATTTCAAAAACGGTTTATTGCAGGTGAAACATCAATGGTTACTCTTAGCGATATACTCAGCGATCTGGTTCGGGTAGAACAAGGATGGTGGAGAAAAAATGTAGATGGGGTGTGGAAGTTTGTACGTTTGGAAGAAAGATTGAGCAAGGGGATAAAAATTCGTGTAGGAGAAGGAGTAGAGGCAGTTCGGTCAAAGGTGATGAAGGAGCTGCGAATCAATGATAAAGAAGAAAACATCGAGCTTTACTTATGAGATGCCGCAGTGGATGGACAACGACGGAAAGGTCAAACCAGTCCCGATTCATATCCGCGATGACGGGGAGATGGATACGTTTATGGCAATGCGTGTAGATTTGCACGAGCTGAAGTTCTATGTAGTCCCACTACCAAAACACATGACACTCCAGATAGATGACTTCAGCGTCATCCCGGTGAACCATGGTTTTGCATATGCAGAGTTGGTTAAGGGTGATGGGAAGGAAAATAGTGGAAGTGGTGAGAGAGTTCAGTCACCGGCCGGCAACATCGTCCTCATACAGCCACGGCAAGAAAAAGGAGATACAAGAAAAGAGAAGTCCATTGCTTGGCTAGGGGACGTTCACCATGGAAGAGATAGTGGAGCTCTATATTCGGGTTACGGTACAAATCGTTATGCGGTGATAACAGTGAAAGTAGATCTTTAGACATTCTGGTCGATTCACAAGACGAGTCAGACACTGGTGGCAGCAGTAGAGGCCCGACAAGGAACCTAGTGTTAAGCATTGGAAGAACACGTAAAGGAAAAACAAAAATTTAACATTATTAAAATAATTTTTACGCACTAAGTAATTACTTACGGATCTACGTTTACACTTACCGTGTTATTCAACAATATACATCTAACATAATATATAGACAACTAACAAATTATATAGATATCTACAAACTAAAGTTCGGTTGATAAATCAAATATAACAATCTACCAAATTAAATGCCTAGTTACATTACAACTTTAAGTAGATTAAATCTATTATATAATGGGAGAGTTCTCTCTCCATCTAAGGTGTCCACATAGGCAAATTTTTTTATTTTTTAAATGTTCATTTAATTCATGTTTAAGTATATTTATTGATCAAAACTAGTAAATACAAGAATATTTTTGTATTTTATTATTGTAAATAAAAAATTATAACAAGAAATATATTTCATTTATATTGTATTTCACTTGAGAGTAACAAAACCATTATGAGTTTGTGATAAGATAAATGTTTATATATTTTAATTTCAAAAAAATTAGAAATATGTAAAATGAATATAAATATAAGAGAATGAATAACATATAAACGACATAAGAG